TTTATTTATTTATTTATTTATTTGTCATTATTCCAGGTCTTTATTTATTTATTTATTTATTTATTTATTTATTTATTTTACTTTCATTTTTATTATTATTATTATTATTTTTTTGAACAGGTTTTTCTTTTTTCGGCTGAACTACATTCAATGTCGATAATTATCTTTGGGAACTTCAAAGTTGAAGGGAATTTTTTTTCTTTTCTATGATCTCCACCAGCATCGGTAATCCCAACGCGCACAAAGCGTGGATATATTAGGCGGATTGTGATTCGAGTTTCCAAACTCTCAAGATGTGCTTTTATAATGGACAACAATAGCTAAAGATTTTCCTCGTTTGGATACTAACCTGAAGTGTCCAACTCGCAATCCGAGACCATGAATTTTACCCACTTTTGAAAAAAACTAAAGCAAATTTTGATAATAATTGTATTGCATGAGATCGTTTATGATTATTATTATTTATTTCTATTTCCGTATAATCTGGGCAGCTGCAGTCGACAAAATGCAGGTGAAATTCGTCCGTGTTGTGCTCCGCGTGTGGAAGCGGGGAGGCCATCGGGAATCGGCGGCATCTCTTTTGAAGTGTGGTCGGCCATATTTATCGAACAAGTATCATTTCAAGTATCAAGGTACTATTAACCTGTACGATACTTACAGAAACTCGAAAATAGAGAAAGGGAGGAAGAGCTAACGCTACCGTAGATGGCCCCCGTAACTCGAAAGCATAGTGCATTGCCCGCAAGCGTCTCTACTCCATAACTTGCCCATACTCGTCCCATAATAATACATTGTAGCCTCTATGTGATATCGCTATTCGCAATACGCGATGCTTTCGAGTTGCGGAGCCCAATGTTTCATCTTTGTAATTTTTCATTGAGCATATTAATTCATGGTCACATGTGAATGCGGGTAGATAATGTAGACTTGAACTCATTAACAGAGACTTTCATGAGATTGTAATGACTTAAAGGGATAATAACTCTTCGTTTCGGCCAAAAAATGAATTTTCCTGGAGTAAACAACAATTTTCCCATACTTACCAATGGTTAATGAATACATTTTTACATGCAAAGTTAGTCCCTGGTTTTTTTCTAAAAAGTTTGGTTTTTTGTTAAAATCTCTTAAGAGATTTTAACAGAGTATAGCCATCAATGGAGGTCACGTGGTCCAAAGACAAGCTCAGATCTCATACGAAGAGTTATTATCCCTTTAACAGAGACTGCAATGCACAAAACTAGCACTAGCCCATATAACTCAACCATAGATGTACATCTACCAAGAGGCGGGTCTAAAAGCACACGCGGTTTTTTATACAATGCGTGTTAAGTCGTTATATAACCAAATACATTTCTTCTTGAACACCTCTCCTTTAATTCATATCATTAAGATACGTACTATCCAACCCTGGTGAAATAATCACGATCTATAGCCGGTTTTTGAGTTCTAAATCTCTCTCTTACCATGACTGCTATTGAAATTCGCCTGTATCCATCAATGAGCAACTTAATTTTATTCCCCATCAAAATAAATTATTTTTTTTACTACGGTTAGTTTATTCATTGGTTGGAAAATCGATCATTTGGTGTGTAAAAAAATCCCTTTAGAATTTGAAAAAGTAAGATGATTTTCTGTATCACTTTAAGCATTGCGTTAGAGGTGACACTTTTGGTAGGGAGTATACAACCCAACGACAGGCGTATAGATCGCAATTTTATTTGTCCGTTTCGGGTTTCCAGTAATCAGCTGATTAAAGGGATTTAAACAAAATCGTGTATCGAAAAGGTAGCGTTAGCTCTTCCTCCCTGCTTCTATTTTCCTTGTTTTCACGGTCTATTAATACATTTTGTAATTCAGTCAAAGGGATAATATCTCTTCGTATGAGGTCTATATTTCACAATAAAAACATAGTGAATAACTCATAGAAATATAATATATTCGGTTTTACGACAAAAACGGCAGTTATAGCAGGGCAGATCATTAACAGCTGAGCATTTTGTAATATTCTCCGGAAGATTTAAAATATGAATCAATTTTTGTTTCCTCTGTATTTGGGCGTTAGGTGGCCATTTCTTCTGTTTGCTTACTGGCATAAAATACCCCAACGCAGTGGGGATTTAATGCGTAGTACATGTATGTTAACATGTATCCAGTCAAAATAACCTTTTGGTTATTTCAACCATTTGGCAATCTTACTGTGACCTTGAAATTGACTGGCCTACTTTTCACCATGAACTGAATATTCCAAATGTTCTGGTCCTTATACCGGGGTACGCCTGTATCTCCAGAGCTGACAGAGATACGCCCATAGTTACTATTGAACTTGTGCGTCATTTGTTAGGCAAATAACTCTTTCCCAGATGATAATTTGGAAAAAATGGACATTGTTATAATGCTTTTAATGGTTGTTGTATCGGCCAAATATTTTTGTTTGATTAATTATGTGAATTCAATTTATATAAAAAAACTGATGTCACAATTACAAATTTAAAGGTATTTTAACACGATATTTTAAATCCTTGTTTTCATTTAAAATACAGGAAAGTAGGGAAACATCAAAGAAAATTAGACTGGAAAAATATTCCATATTAAATGTCAGGTTTGTGTTTGAAGTCACCATATGCAATTATTGTAACTAGTTTAGAAAATCAATAGAGTGATTTTTTTCGAAATAGTATTTCTTAAAGAGCTAAATATGTTTACTCAACACTATGTGTAGTACAATTTATAAGCAAACTTCATACCACGTGAAACGCAATATAAAATGCTTTTAAAAAGCAGACGCAGGGTAGATATGTGAGATATATTTAATTTTGCAAAGAAACATATCTAGCATACCCTCTATCAGGACCACAGATTAATTATGTGCATCTCTCCTCGTTTGGAACAGTAAAGAATAATATTATGAATTAAGACAGAGATATATCTAAAAATTAGTTAAAATCATGTAATATTTTTGACCTTTGAAAAGGGCAAAGGGTCGTATATTTGTGTTACACTGCTTTTGAGACATACTAGACCAACTGATCGTTTAACAATGCTGAAAAGTTTGATGGTAGAAGTATCATCGCGTAGTGTCAGTAAGAATAAAAAAGGTACACATGTAGGGGAGACCGGGGCTAGTTGGACCCCGGGGTAAGTTGCCCCCCCTCCCCCCCTCCCCCCGTCAAGTCCTTTTAATAAAGTAATAAAGTTACTTTAAGATGCTAAATAATTTCATTTAGACTCCCTGTCGACGCTACGGTCACTTTACAAAATGATGTGATCAATTATTTTACCCCATAAATACATTTTCATAAAAATCCCCTACTTATCACGAAGATCGAAACAGAAAGTTGCGCGTTTGTAATCCTTATCTTGACATGTTTGCTCTTGATAAAGGGGTCACCTACTGTGAAAAGTGTTTATCGATTCCTATATTTAGGCGTGCTGTGTGCTGCAAATTTCCCAAACAGAAAGAAAATGGCGGTTTAGACATACATCTGCTAAACACCTACATGTATTCAAACATGTCCATGGATTTCAGAATTATGTCCACGGTCATGTTATTTCTGCTTTTCGTCCTGCTTGGTATAACCCTTGCTGAAGACATTTCGTCTGACGACCCGGAGGACCGTTTTACGCTACCCTAGATTGCTCACTATACCTTTTCATGTATTGACTTTACAGTGGCCCTGAAGAATAGCGGCAATTTTGAGTATCTGTCAACCAAAGGAACTGCTTTGCAGTTTATCCGCAGTTGAATGCCATGAGTCCAAAATAAAAAGTGAATCAGATTTAATTTTGCTTAATTTAATTTTTGTTTTCTGTATTTAAGATTTTAATTGAAAAATGAATAATATACTTTTAAAAGAAAAAGACATTCCATGTGTTTTTGTATTTTATTGCTTATCAATAAACATTAGCTCTTGAAGATATAAACACAGTACACATGTGCCAAGTTGACAGCTACACTGTATGTCCGATACCACTATAAGTACTGTGCAATGGCTACACCAAAAATCAGTTTTTAAAGCAGAAAGGTGCTTGGGTTGTGACACTGATTTTTCCATTGCAAGGTATTCTTAGTTCAAAATTCAAACTCCGCGTCAGAAACTTTGCTTCTTTGGTCTTTGTTCTTTGTCTCGTCTCCACGAGATGACGTCAGCTCAAGGCGAGAGCAGCTCCAGGCGGGACACAGCTGTAACGTACGAGACATGTGACTTCCAAATATGGAAGCGCCCCAGTCAAACTTTTGCCGAACGCTCCCCCAGCATGCCGCTGGAGTCAGTAATGCTGATGTGGGTTATACATGAAATCAAGATCGAGCTGGCAATACCAAAATCTAGTACCTAGGATACTTAACGCTGACAAATGGTTAATTTGATACTATCATACTTTTTGTTTCTTATCACAGTTAAAATTTTAATTCAAAACACTTCAAAGGCTATTATGACACCAACCTGTAGATGGCGTATTTGCATATGCGTACTTTATGACCGGGTTCCCATACCTAGATCGATCTAACAGGATCGATCCATCTCAGAGGGTTTTCTCGTTAAATTGCTTTCAGCTTAAGCGGCAAAGATGTCTGGCACGCCTACTGAAGCTGCTAAATGGTAATTAATTAATTACCCTCTAGCAGCTTTAGTTGGCGAGAGTTTAAGAGTGCTCGAATAAACGCAGGTTAATTTTCAGTTTGCTGAGTTCACTTTTTGATTTTACAAAGAAAGTAAGGAGCGTTTGAAGTTTGTGTTACACTGCTTTTGAGACATACCAGATGAACCAATGGTATAACAATTATACTGTTGCACTTTTTTTATATAAGTAGCATCATGAAGAAGCAGTTATTGCAATACATTCCGTTGTTGATCTGAAAAGGGGCACATCATTTCATGCACTAATAATCGCAATAGAAACTTTTCTTAAATGTTTGACTTCAAAGAATTTATGACAAAGCAGTTCTCAGAATAGCACGCTTGTGTGCACACCCTCTGTGATCAAACTTACATTAGGGTCATACAGGTATTGGCACAACAGCAGGGAGTAGGCCTTTATAGTGAGTCACTTATTCACGTACATGTACAATGTATATCGATCTTTAAATCCAGGCAAGCCGTGCACTGTAACCTTGACAAAGCGAAAGTAGGACGTGGCTTAAACATACATTCCAGTATGGATTTCAGGTTTAAATCCACGATCATTCTGTTTCTGCTTTTCGTCCTGCTTGGTGTAGTCCCTGCTGACCACATTTCGTCTGATGACCCGGTGGACAAAGACGCTTCTGACCGGGTTGTACGAGAAGCCGAACTGGAATATAGTCCGCTCATAGAAGATGCTGAGACCCGTGTTGAGAGGGATGTTGCAGTTGTCGGAGCGGTGGTTGCCGTTGCAAAGTTAGGACTGGACGTTATCAACACCATACTGAATAATTTGCCCGTAAGTGTAATTGGTTTTCTTTCTCTCTCTCTCTCTCTCTCTCTCTCTCTCTCTCTCTCTCGCGCGTTGAAAGACACACAAACAGTGATACAGACAGTCAGCCTCAAAGAGAGAGACAGAAAAAGAAAAGGAAAAAAGACTCGAAGAAGATCTCAGATTATGAGACACTCGGCTACGCCGACTCTTTAAATTCAAATTCACAACTATATGTACCTTCTTCCATTAGTTTTATCTCTCTCTCTCTCTCTCTCTCTCTCTCTCTCTTGTAGTCAAACACACACATGCAGAGAGAAACAGAGTGAGTGGGAAAGACAGAGAGAGGAAAAAGATAACAGACTAGCAGAAGTTTCATTTACATTTATTTTAATTATGTCCCTCTCCCCCTCTCTCATCCTCTCTATCTCTCTCTCTCTCTCTCTCTCTCTCTCTCTATGATCTAAATCTACTGCTACATGTACAGGTGCTAAATAGGTCATTCTAATCTATTTAATCACAATTTTTGCAGCCACATATATCAAAGTGTGTCAATACAATGATAGACTGGCACATAATTTTGTCAATAAAGATCTTTGTGTTGTTGTCAAATGAGTCCATGTAACCTTGGACATACCGGGTACTAAACTTAGGCATCAACCAACTTTATTTGCGTGTGTGTGTATGTGTGTGTGCGTGCGTGTGTGCTTGTACAAATTGATATCTGAATATCCCACATTTGTTGGATTATAATTAATTTTCTTTTGGTACAAAGTCAGATATCATATATTTTTGCATGTCTATTCTATTTTGAGACTTTGTATGCCAATCCCATTCACTTTTATTGAGAAAAGGTGTTTCATCAATAAATTAATATAGACGTTCACGAAGTTTATATTATCCTTTGTTTAATTTTACAGGCCCCATAAATGTATTCATTCTCTATACTGTAAATATTATACAAAATAATTTTGGGTAAAGTCAGCTTGGGGACCAGCAGCTGCGATAACTCACCGAGGCCGTGCAAGGTTTTACTTTCTTGATGTCTTATCCCAGCCAAATCCTGGATCCGCCTGTGTAAATTGATGCCAGCTACATACATTTTATTTTTCAAATATAACATATCAAAAATCACACTTTCAGGCGGCCATTACTCGCACTTGTATTGTGACCATACGTAACTACCTGGGCACAAAAGCCTTGGTGAATCCAGTTGTGTATACTAAGGCATCGAAAATGAAAGTGATTCCACCAGAGAGAATCGGCCCAGGAGAAGCCACTGTCCTCGAGTTTGATCAAGTCGGAAGTAGTGGGGAGCCTGAAGGATCATTTGTATACAATATCGAGGGGACGGACCTCTATGTAATCATATTGTTCCACGTGGTACCCCCAAACGCCTACAACGCCAGAATATTTTCATTTGAAGCCAAATACTCGGACGTCAAGGTAAACCTACACAACGGTATGAAGACCTTAGCTGATTATTACCCTTTAGTAGCAGACGACACCATTCAGTATGACATACGCAAAGAATGTGGTTACAAAGTGTCTGTCGTCATGACTGACCACGAGAGGGCTACGATGCAAGTTGACGTCTATGATTGCCCGGATACTGTTGACCAGACTGCCTTAGTAGTGACCAATCAAGCCATTAATGGAACAAATGTCGATCCCCTGGGATGTAAGCCTGGTGATTTACCAAACTGTGGGTGCTGCCAGACCATCTCTTTTGGCAATACCCTCTTCTTCTTGCCAGCAATTTTGACATATGTGTTCTTTTCTACCCTTCTTGCTATTTTTTACGGTATTCCACGAGATTTTGGTCTTTAATTTGGCAGAGCCAGGCATATTTTCAAGGTCACAAATTAAACGCAGAACGGTTAAATGGATTTTTTCTTTGAATGAAATTTTTAAATTGTATGGTGCTCTCCTTAAAGACCCAATTGACTTGTCCCTTCAGTTCAATGTCACTGAGAACATTTTATTTTACTTTTATTTAATCTTCTCAGCAATAGCGAAATGTTTTCTTTTCAACATGTCTTGTAATATTTTTCGGTATTTCACAAAATATTGTCTTTTAATTTAGTAAAACCGGAACATATTTTGAAACATTGAAAACGCATAAAACGCTGAAAGGTTTAAATGTTTTTTTTTTACTGTATACTTAAGGAAAATTACAATAGAAATGTTTTTAGACTTTCATCCCAATCTGTTAGTATCTCCAGCACAGTGCCATATATGGAACATGCACAATTGAAGTTCTTAATAGACAACAGAAATACTGGAACCCTTAGAAATATATTATGCGTGCAGCTGGATTTTGTATCTCGATATCGATATACATGTATATTCCCCAGTTAATATGTAGCAACCTACAGATAGTTTCAAGATTTAACTTTTACCAACCATGTATAATAGCATATGTTGTATAGTATTCTATGTAATGTTAGGTAATTGATCACGTAATGAGTTTTTTTTTATATTTCTTTGGCGTCACAATTTGGTTTAATGTTGTATTTTGATATGCACATACTCGACAATAGAAGTGTCATCACCACTGAACCAATACTTTGGGGGAGATAAATGACTGTGGAATGATATGCTCCTGGTATCATTTTATTAACATCAAATTTCACAATAGAAACGGTTCTGACTGAACAATTCAACAGTATTGATATTCTGACATTGCTTATATTCCGCCTCTTCAGGTTAATAACTTTGATTACTCTGATTTAGGGGGTGACAATTCTATTGTCGAGTACGCACATAATACATAACCGCCTTCAATATATATGGCACCCTTAAGAAATCAACTTATCTCGGACGATATACTTTAAGCAGTCGATGTATTAGCATTATAATTTAGTAGGCAGTTCATTCCGTAATGATATTTTATTTCTATACATCTTTGTCGTCAGAATGGGTTTTATATTTCATTGTTACCACTACAGAGATCTTCAATAACTAGTACAATATGTAGATATGAAATGAAATTAATAAATCTTTTTATTTTAATTATTCCCATAGTTGTAACTTCATTCCGTATTTGTTCAATGTCAGAGGAAATATGTATAATTTTAAAATTAAAAAGACTTTTAAGTAAGATTATTTATATAACAAATATATTCTATTCACATTATACAAAATATGATGTGCTGACCTCGACATAATAAACGTTTGGAGTGCACACATCCACTAACTTCTAATACTACATGTATGTACAGGGAAACTTAATGGAAGTATGTGTCTTAATATTGTCAACCAGATATTCTTAAGATTTTGTTTTGAATTTTTTATGGGATCTGCGTACATCTCCCTCTCACACATCTTGGCGTAAAGATTGGCTCGTGTCGACTTGAGCTTCCTCGACTGCTGCTGCCACCTGTTGAGCCGGACCCGCCTCGGCTACTAGCGCCCCCTGACGAACCTGAAGTTACCGGTCTGGTTTCATTGGGATTGAACCAGCTGTAAGGACAGGTGCCCCGCCTTCTCCTGGAGCCGCCTTGGCACTTCTGATCCTTGGGGTCATCGAACCCTTTCTGCTTCAAGTATTGAGCACGTGCGATGACGTCATTAGCGTAGTCATCTCCCGTTGTTCCCACATCCATTCGGTCGTAATTTCGGACATTACGCACGCCCGCGTTGTAGGCGGATATGCCGCCCTTTAGAACTTGTTCGTCACTCCATGAGGGGTGGCAATCTCGGACGCCATTGATCATTCCTTGTAAAATCCCCACTCCTTGTTTGATATGTTCCGCACTGTTCCAAGCACCCTGAGTAGTGTGGAATCTTTTATCAATTTGCATCAACCCAAAGCCGTTCCCGTTATCACCATGGTGATTGGAGTCCAGAGCAGCACCGCCACGAGATTCTCGCGAGATGATGGCAGCAATGATGGCAGCATCCATTCCCGTCTCTTTAGACACTTGGTTGATCTTTTCTTTAAATCTAAAAGGAAAATTGTTTCTAAATTTAACACCAAGAAAAAGAAAAATTCTGTTATTCAAATACCTGTTTTTAGAAATTTCATCCTTCCTTTTTAATCATACTAGATAGCCTACAACGAGGCTGACGGCACTGTGTGACGTCATACGAGACTACATAACGTACAAGAATATACGCTGTTTTTTTGTTTGTTTGTTTGTTTTTGTTTTTTTTTCTTTCCTTTGCGCTGCACTCGCTAGCTTTTTTATTATTTCTGACCCAATTATCCTCCAAATCTCGCTTGATCAGGAAATTCCGAGACAGAAATGTTAATATGTAAAAATTAATATTCTATTTACCTTGGGCAGTACTGACTGTACATGTATCTTGTTTGAATTTATGCTGTAACTACCAGTACATTTGGAAGGTTGGTTATGTCTGACTTTTAATAATGTATAAAAAGATTAAATTGCACAGTTGTTTTAAAAAACTTTTACTTACTGCTTCAGTCTGTTGAGGTCGTTCTGCGCCAGTTTGTTCGAGGCCGCCACGCCAGTAAGTCCTTTTGCATTGGCGTCCTGACCCGCTGTTTTGGAAGACGCTCCTTTGGTGTCGACTTTACCCACGTCCCCATGACAGTCTTTATCCTGTTGCTGCTGGTTGCTAGGTCCACCCCCAAATCCACCTTCGTGGGTGATCACCCCCTGTCCAGCAAAACTGTCCAGAAATCCTCTGATGGCGTCCCCCCTAATGACAGTCACAAACGGATCGCTGATTCGCTGACCGACCACTGTGATGGTTTCAATGCCGCCGCCGCCGCCTCCTGAGCAGCGCTTCAGACGTTCATGAAAGCTAAGGCCCTGTAGGTCTCGACGCTTGCGTGTGCACAAAATACGAGCGTGATTACTCGTTCTTCCTAAAACGTCTGCCGAAAAAAAAAACCAAATAAATTTATAGATTAATATTTCGACACATGAATCATATAATTGGAAATATTGACACTATAACATTTACTTTCCCAGCACAAGCCGTACGTAGCATGAAAAAAGTCCACCACCATTAAATACTCCGAACAAGCAAACAAATCAAATTAAGTTTTGCATGTATTTAATCTTCGAGTATGATAATATAATAACAATGTCATCCGCCGTCCACGGTATCCAAATTTGGATGCAAATGACAAGACAAACGACCAAATATACAACTCTTACCTTTCTACTCCTGTCTTTGTACAGTGAATATTTAATATGGTCACATTAAATCAAAATGATGATAAGACCATGGCATAGTCCGAGGAAATCAATCCGGCCCTAGTTTTAGAGAGCATTCACATAGAGAAGAGCCGAGGTCTAGCAAGGCCGAGACCTATGGCGGACCTACAAGAAAGGAAAACCGCGTAATACTTTAATTGTTTCTCCTCCTCTCACACGCCTCCCCGCGCGTCGTCCCAGCGGGGGCACACTAATTAAATCTCGGTTCAATTCAACCGGTCGTGAGAAAGGCGGAGAGACCATTAAAGGATTATGCGGTCTACCTTTCATGTAGGTCCGCCATATTTAGGTCTCAGCCTGGCTAGTCCTCGGCTCTTCTCGATGTGAATGCTCTCTTGGAGTTCTACAATACAGTTCTACAGTAGGGAAAATTGCTGCTGACTACCAGCATTGCTCTGCATGGAAGGGTTGGCGTTAGACTCTACCCGGGTTCAGAATTTAAAAAAAACTTGTCACTGAGGCACATGAAAGAGGGAATAAAACAGCAAGAGTCTTTAGTTTTCTCAGACATTTCTTTCCCTCTTCCTATCTAACTCTATTCTGCAAGTCCCAAAATTTGAATCCAGTCTATCGCAAATACCAGTTCTCCACCCATGGGCTTACATAGATAACTGGACATCTTTTGATTAAACGCAGGTCCCAGAAATATCAGGTGTGCTAACTGAGCAGAGATTTATGATGTAATCAAGTATAAAGAGTCATTAAGAGAATTAAGATATAATCCGGGTGGGGAGTAACAAGACTCAAGCAATGAACGTTACTGGAAACGTCAGAGAAGTAATCTGTTAGTGGGAGTTAATTTCCGATCATCTCTGCAACCCGGGGTGTTTGTGTGGGGGGGGGGGCTGCGAAGCCAGCTCACAAGTACATTGTTGGCTTCTCGACGTAGAATGAGTGTGCTTGGTCGTGTATGTACATACTCTATTGTCATTTTATGTATGACCTCCAACTAGCTCCTAGCATTACTGCAATCAAGGCTGAGAAATAAATCAAAGGGGTGCTTACAATGTAAAGTTTTTGTCAAATTAAATCTTTACTCCATCCCGTGGCCCTCGCCCGGCATTGTTCTTCTTTCGAGACACTTTCACACGCGTTAAGTAATGTGTACCTGCGTAGTCTGATGTTAGCGTGTGCCTAGAGATATACGGAGGCCGAGATCTATGTCGTTGATCATTTTTCGTTCTTTTGACGTATAAAAGTTTCCAGTAGATGCCAAATGACCGCTCCTTTCTTAGATTGTTCCAATATAATAATTTGAAAACCGTTGATTTTTTAATTCCTTTTATAGTGTAAAGTCGTGTGCCATGGCAAAATAGTTATGTCTGCCAAAATGGGCACTCTGTGACCACCGGGTTTGCCACTAGTCTGCTACAAGATTGTTAAATTCTTGAATTTTATAACAGGCTATCCTAGAGGTCCATGTGACACAGTGTATCAGAGGGTAAAGAAAGGATACGTTTGGTGACCCGCAAGAATAAAAAGCAGCAAATGTTCAGTTTGTTATGCGAAGTTTTGTGTCAAAACATATTTATGTAATATTCATAAATTTAGAAAAAAACGAAGAGGTGGCATGATAATGATTTTAATGCTACGCTTTCCAAAATGGCGTTTTTCTCACATTTCTACCTTTCTAAATCATTGAACCTATCAGCAGTGTTTTTGAAACTTCAGATAATTATCTTGAGTTCACTTTTGAAAATAACCCCAACCCCAACCCCATACAGCTAAAAGCATAAGTATCTTTACCTGCTGTGTATAGCGAAAGTGCTAGAAGAATGAACGAACATCTTTTCAGCAACATCGTGTCCTACTGTACTTTGGCTTCTCAACAGGTCTCTTCTCTAGCGTCACTCAATATCTCACTCCATTCTCCTGAGTATCGTCAAGGTTTATATATTCCTCCCTTGCGGAACCAGGAAATAAAGGCTGGGCCACGGTCGCCGCTGTGGATAATTACCTAATTTTGTCTCAATGAGTAAACAGGATCTCCGCCGAGCCCTGCGCCGCCGTAGATTAATTGACAGAGAAGCCACATGTTGCTCGGCAACTTGTAGGTGTAAGGGTCGGCCTGCCAAATGTTAGAGGGTCCCATTGTGTGTGTGTGGGGGGGGGGAGGGGATCACAGCTCACGGGAAATAAAACCATCAATTTACAAAGCACAGCGATTAAGACTTACATACCTATACATATCTCAATTAAAAGACAAGAAATACGAGTTGAAAAGCCGCATTCTCGAGTCAAGGGAATGGGGTTCTTCACGGATCAAGCTGAATATTATGAGGGTTTCACGCACCTCGGGCAATAATCATTGGCTTTCACAGCTGGTAAATAAAATACCCAAAGGGATCCTCATATAAGGCTAAATACGTGGGTCGAGTCTATTTTCGAGGAAGGGCTTCAGTCCACTTTAAGTCAGATATACAGTAACTACTCTCTGACAGGGTCCACTTGTATTTTGTCACAAAATGAATACATACTTTAATATTGTATGCTATTTTAGATTCCCCTGACATCATCTCCAGCAAGGAGACCACTACAGGTGTCTATACCAGGCTGTAGCTGCAGTCGTATGAGACAGGGTCTACGCAAGCTGTGCGCCTTCAGCGGTTAACACTAGAAGACGTGTGTATAATACAGTGACATCGTTACCTGTCCACATACCTGTCCACATTATACATAGCATCCGCCATGCACCAGTAGTTTGTTTACTGTTTTCTGCACCCGAGTTCAAAACATCCTGTGCATCNTTTTTGTACAGTGAATATTTAATATGGTCACATTAGATCAAAATGATGATAAGACCATGGCATAGTCCGAGGAAATCAATCCGGCCCTAGTTTTATAGAGCATTCACATAGAGAAGAGCCGAGGTCTAGCAAGGCCGAGACCTATGGCGGACCTACAAGAAAGGAAAACCGCGTAATACTTTAATTGTTTCTCCTCCTCTCACACGCCTCCCCGCGCGTCGTCCCAGCGGGGGCACACTAATTAAATCTCGGTTCAATTCAACCGGTCGAGGGACGACGCGTGGGGAGCCGTGAGAAAGGCGGAGAGACCATTAAAGGATTATGCGGTCTACCTTTCATGTAGGTCCGCCATATTTAGGTCTCAGCCTGGCTAGTCCTCGGCTCTTCTCGATGTGAATGCTCTCTTAGAGTTCTACAATATTGTTCTACAGTAGGGAAAATTGCTGCTGACTACCAGCATTGCTCTGCATGGAGGGGTTGGCGTTAGACTCTACCCGGGTTCAGAATTTAAAAAAACTTGTCACTGAGGCACATGAAAGAGGGAATAAAACAGCAAGAGTCTTTAGTTTTCTCAGACATTTCTTTCCCTCTTCCTATCTAACTCTATTCTGCAAGTCCCAATATTTGAATCCAGTCTATCGTAAATACCAGTTCTCCACCCATGGGCTTACATAGATAACTGGACATCTTTTGATTAAACGCAGGTCCCAGAAATATCAGGTGTGCTAACTGAGCAGGGATTTATGATGTAATCAAGTATAAAGAGTCATTAAGAGAATTAAGATATAATCCGGGTGGGGAGTAACAAGACACAAGCAATGAACGTTACTGGAAACGTCAGAGAAGTAAGCTGTTAGTGGGAGTTAATTTCCGATCATCTCTGCAACCCGGGGTGTGTGTGTGTGTGTGTGTGNCATCTCTGCAACCCGGGGTGTTGGTGGTGGGGGGGGGGCTGCGAAGCCAGCTCACAAGTACATTGTTGGCTTCTCGACGTAGAATGAGCGTGCTTGGTCGTGTATGTACATACTCTATTGTCATTTTATGTATGACCTCCAACTAGCTCCTAGCATTACTGCAATCAAGGCTGAGAAATAAATCAAAGGGGTGCTTACAATTTAATGTTTTTGTCAAATTAAATCTTTACTCCATCCCGTGGATTGTTCTTCTTTCGAGACACTTTCACACGCGTTAAGTAATGTGTACCTGCGTAGTCTGATGTTAGCGTGTGCCTAGAGATATACGGAGGCCGAGATCTATGTTGTTGATCATTTTTCTTTCTTTTGACGTATAAAAGTTTCCAGTAGATGCCAAATGACCGCTCCGTTCTTAGATTGTTCCAATATAATAATTTGAAAACCGTTGATTTTTTAATTCCTTTTACAGTGTAAAGTCGTGTGCCATGGCAAAATAGTTATGTCTGCCAAAATGGGCACTCTGTGACCACCGGGTTTGCCACTAGTCTGCTACAAGATTGTTAAATTCTTGAATTTTATAACAGGCTATCCTAGATGCCCATGTGACACAGTGTATCAGAGGGTAAAGAAAGGATACGTTTTGTCACCCGCAAGAATGAAAAGCAGCAAATGTTCAGTTTGTTATGCGAAGTTTTGGTTCAAAACATATTTATGTAATATACATAAATTTAGAAAAAAACGAAGAGGTGGCATGTTAATGATTTTTAATGCTACGCTCTCCAAAATGGCGTTTTTCTCACATTTCTACCTTTCTAAATCATTGAACCTATCAGCAGTGTTTTTGAAACTTCAGATAATTATCTTGAGTTCACTTTTGAAAATAACCCCAACCCCAACCCCATACAGCTAAAAGCATAAGTATCTTTACCTGCTGTGTATAGCGACAGTGCTAGAAGAATGAACGAACATCTTTTCAGCAACATCGTGTCCTACTGTACTTTGGCTTCTCAACAGGTCTCTTCTCTAGCGTCACTCACTATCTCACTCCATTCTCCTGAGTATCGTCAAGGTTTATATATTCCTCCCTTGCGGAACCAGGAAATAAAGGCTGGGCCACGGTCGCCGCTGTGGATAATTACCTAATTTTGTCTCAATGAGTAAACAGGATCTCCGCCGAGCCCTGCGCCGCCGTAGATTAATTGACAGAGAAGCCACACGTTGCTCGGCAACTTGTAGGTGTAAGGGTCGGCCTGACAAATGTTAGAGGGTCCCATTGTGTGTGTGTGGGGGGGGGGAGGGGATCACAGCTCACGGGAAATAAAACCATCAATTTACAAAGCACAGCGATTAAGACTTACATACCTATACATCTCAATTAAAAGACAAGAAATACGAGTTGAAAAGCCGCATTCTCGAGTCATGGGAATGGGGTTCTTCACGGATCAAGCTGAATATTATGAGGGTTTCACGCACCTCGGGCAATAATCATTGGCTTTCACAGCTGGTAAATAAAATACCCAAAGGGATCCTCATATAAGGCTAAATACGTGGGTCGAGTCTATTTTCGAGGAAGGGCTTCAGTCCACTTTAAGTCAGATATACAGTAACTACTCTCTGACAGGGTCCACTTGTATTTTGTCACAAAATGAATACATACTTTAATATTGTATGCTATTTTAGATTCCCCTGACATCAGAGGGTATAGGCTGTAGCTGCAGTCGTATGAGACAGGGTCTACGCAAGCTGTGCGCCTTCAGCGGTTAACACTAGAAGACGTGTGTATAATACAGTGACATCGTTACCTGTCCACATACCTGTCCACATTATACATAGCATCCGCCATGCACCAGTAGTTTGTTTACTGTTTTCTGCACCCGAGTTCAAAACATCCTGTGCATCATCAGGACTCTGACTGCAGTAGTTTTTTTTTTTTTACAACCAAGCGGCTATTAAATAATGCTTAAAATATTAAATCTAAAACCCAATGATCGTTGACACAAGTTATCAGGACTCCGTTTATCCGATACTAGGCCTCAGCAGTAGTTATGTTGATTTGGTATTTTTTGAAAAAAAAGGTCACAGTGCGCGTGTCAAAGGGGTATGAAACTGACCTCGGGTGTCCAGCAAGGAGACCACTACAGGTGTCTGATAAGAGTTGAAGGATACCGGGCTGTGAAAATAGACGGACTGATAAGTTGTAAGTGCGACACTTGAATGTTTGAATAATGGAGAGCTGTACGTATTTCTTTATCCATTTATTTTATTGATTTTTTTTTTAATTTCAAGTTTCTATGAGCAATGTATCCTATCCTGAATAGTGCAGAGGTATGTGCTTCTTAATTTTTTATTATTTATTTATTTATTTATTTATTTATTTATTTATTTATTTGCAAGTCATGTCATAGTCTATGCTTAAAGCTTGAAAATGCTAGTGCATATATTTAACTAGATATAGCGTGAGGTATTTCGAATTCATCTCTAGATTCTAACACATAACTTCATGCATTGTGTCAATTCAAATGTGAACAAATCCGTCCATACAGCTATGCTGAACGGTTACAAATTTTCGTTAAAAAAAGTGTGTTGGAAAATCCTTCAAGTTGCAATTAGTTTAACGAAATCCTACCTTAAGTTTAAATTATTTCACCAGTGCGACAAACGACAGTTTCTGGGCCTGTTAGTAGCTGGACCACATCCGCGTTATAACGTTTATATCCCTGCAGGTGTTTATTAAGGCCGGAGTTTAGCGTGAACCCGGAAAAAATACGCAGTTCCGAATTGAGTCCAACATTTTACTTCCGTAAACAGACGGATCTGAAATTATTAAGAGAGCTAGTAGGCTGGCAAACAGCGGTCAACGGGAGCGTACACGCCACGGCGCGGGGCCTAATTAATGGACGTCCGGGTTTCAACAGTAGCTTGAATCCTGCCTGAAATCTCTTTTTAGATCCGTTCAGCGACATCACGCTGTCGTGCACGAGGAAGATAAAAAACCGCATAATGCTGTCTTAGTTTGTCGTTAAAAAAAACGATGGAGAAAAACGACACAGACTGATAAACTTTCCCGCTCTGCTAAAAAGACAGGCAAAAATGCAGCCTTTTTTAGTTCATATGAAAGCTCCCTTTTAGTACACGCGTACCATGCATGTTGAAAATAAATTAAATTTAATTCATAATAATATAGCTGTTTTCCCAGTGTCTTTCCTTTTCTGTCCACAATAATACTATTTATTTGTTCATTAATAAACCAATTTATCTGTTTATTTATTTATGAGTGAAATAATAAAAATAAAGCAGTAGACACTTAGGACACAATATGGCAAATCTTGGTTTTGTCTCATTTCACTTGTCTTACTGTTATTTCGGGAGGGAGAAAGGGGATAGGGGTGCTTTTGAAGCAAAGGCGGGTGTGAAGGGGAGGGGTAACCCAGTGTAGGCCCTACTTCCCTCTCCCGTGATTGATTATTCATCTAGCAGGGACGATGCATCTGAATAGTAGTGGGACGCTTATACACATACACAGCAGAGCCACTCGCTGTCAAGACGATAATGTTCAAGGCGGTTCGATCAACTGCTGTTGAGAATTTAGATCTTAAGTGGATTGAAAAATTGATACAATATACACATGAACCCACAGTCTCTGCCGGTATTGATGCCTGCTAATATTTTGGAGCGAGTAGGCAATCTTTGCAATTCGCTATTGTTACATACAACTAGGACCCAGTGCACATATTTAATCACCATGTTTAAATTCGCACACTCGTCTGACTTATTTCAGATTTTAAATAGTGACTGTGATTAATCACATTAATCAAAATACCGGTAGTGAGAATGATAGGGAAATAAACAAAAATCAAATATTCAATTATTACTTTTAATTTTTTTTCTTTAATTAAGGAATATGAGTAATTTTTTTTTAATACGAAACTGTTGCATCTACGCTTCATGTTCGGATTTATTTCAATAGAGAAAAGGACAAATACAGTCAACTGGGGCGCATAAAAGCTTTATTTCCAACACTTATTTCAAATATACATATATTAAATGTTACATATTTATAAAAGATAATTTCTTTAAATTATAGACATAACAATAACTACCATATTGAGCGTCCTTTCCGTCGCGTTGAAACGTCTTACAAATCATATTATGCCCTCATGTATTATGCTTTCCATTTGGTACTGACTGAGCGTGTTGAATTGGAAGAAAAGTCGTCTTACATAAACACGTAAAAAGTCAATATTAACCTATTTTGTTAATTGATACAACGGTAAGGAAGTATACTTAACGCACTGACTAGAAAAAGAGTACGCGTCACAAGAGCGCCTGGTAAGGTGCAGCCATACTTAAAACTTTAAATCAGTAGCACCTCCCATCCCGCTTTTTTTTTTTTTTTTTTTTTTTTTTTTTTTTTTTTGATAACGTGCACGATAGGCATTTTATACATTCCTGATTAGGGATTAGGGATGCGACTTGGCTATTGTGTAATCGATTTCCCGTAATCAATTTGACGCTTTTATTGACTTTTCGATCTCTGCTGTAGAGTGCGTATCACTTTGCGGTTTCTGCACCCTTTGACACTCATTCGCTTGCTTTTAATATGTAGTTCTCTTGTTGGCCGCTAGAGTGTTTACTACGTGTAACATATATATATCACAGCTCTTACAATGTAACACGATAAACGATATCGTTACGCTATACACTTCTCACCTGTAAGCTTATGATGCTTAAAACATTAACAAACTACTGATACACTTATACAAAGAGTTCATAACACAGAATGTGCTAAGCCATCTAATTGCAGCTATAGTAATAGCTGTGTAGCAATTAGCCTAAATTATGCGCGAGGTGCCTTAAGATTTTTCAGTGTGATACATAAATAATAAATGGCACAATATTTGATTTGGGAAAATAAATGGCACAATATTTGATTCGGGAAAATAACAGAATCGATAACGGGGTAATTGAGCACAATATAAACCATGGAGTATGGCCAGCTATAAATGCCCCGTGACGCAAAACAATAAATAAATAAATAAATAAATGAATGAATAAATAAAATAATGTATTGATGGTTCAACCTCCAGTTAACCACTCCTCCATCATTTACGTTCTGTACATTACTTAACGCATCCACCTGAGGCTTGATTCTCTTTTAGTCTGCTTATTGAATGTATATACTTTATGGAGTCTACATTAAATTATGTAACCAAGGCGGAGTGGATTAAAGCCTAACACCAATGGTGATTATCCCAACGCGTCTAAAATATTGAATCTGGCTGGTTACATGCTAACGGACTTACTTTGAACACAATTCAATAACTGGCATCAGCTTACACCTAATCTTACTTTTTATTTAAACGCAGCCTCATTTGCTTTTGCATTTCGTACGTCTTTCCCCGCTGGAAGTCGAAAGCCGAAACAGAGGTGGGTAACTTCGGCAACTTGTTGTCCATAATGTGTCTTTTCCTCGCCAGGTCGTTTCTCAGGTTTGGGCTGTGGGGCCTGTTAATGGGCCCCCCTCTGTTAGGCCCCTCAAAGCTCCTGTGCTGGAGGCTACTGAAGGTACAGTCTCTCCCTTTCTGTTTGTGTAAAAACTTCAGATACTGATCCAGTTCGTTTTCCATGATTATCGACCTGCCGACTGGCGGGAGGCGTAAGGGATCCGAGACACCGCTCCCTCTAGTGGAAGAATCGGAAATCTCGGTTACTATGGATTTCCGATGTGTATCGAAAAAAGGCTGTTCTAGGTATATCCTCTGGGAGATAGGGGTGGAATGGCTATAGGTGTTTTCACCGAGGATTGAGCTTTGCCGTCGCGTCATGTTCATTTTCGGCCATGAGTTAGCCGTGGATTGAGCGCTTCTTCCCACGTGAGAGTAAAAACCATGTCCACCGTTAACATTAGCGTGGTCACCGTGGAAACTGAAGTCGGAGCTGTGAAGAGGAGGGAGGGTAGGCGGCTGCGTCCATTCGGTCAAATCCACGTCCGTTCGGCTGCGATATAACCACATGGGTGGGCCGCCGTGTTGACCTACGCCAGCCGTGCTGTACGCGGGTTGGTTCAGTTGAGATATATCCACGTTANAGTTATTAAGAGAGCTAGTAGGCTGGCAAACAGCGGTCAACGGGAGCGTACACGCCACGGCGCGGGGCCTAATTAATGGACGTCCGGGTTTCAACAGTAGCTTGAATCCTGCCTGAAATCTCTTTTTAGATCCGTTCAGCGACATCACGCTGTCGTGCACGAGGAAGATAAAAAACCGCATAATGCTGTCTTAGTTTGTCGTTAAAAAAACGATGGAGAAAAAAGACACAGACTGATAAACTTTCCCGCTCTGCTAAAAAGACAGACAAAAATGCAGCCTTTTTTAGTTCATATGAAAGCTCCCTTTTAGTACACGCGTACCATGCATGTTGAAAATAAATTTAATTTAATTCATAATAATATAGCTGTTTTCCCAGTGTCTTTCCTTTTCTGTCCACAATAATACTATTTATTTGTTCATTAATAAACCAATTTATCTGTTTATTTATTTATGAGTGAAATAATAAAAATAAAGCAGTAGACACTTAGGACACAATATGGCAAATCTTGGTTTTGTCTCATTTCACTTGTCTTACTGTTATTTCGGGAGGGAGAAAGGGGATAGGGGTGCTTTTGAAGCAAAGGCGGGTGTGAAGGGGAGGGGTAACCCAGTGTAGGCCCTACTCCCCTCTCCCGTGATTGATTATTCATCTAGCAGGGACGATGCATCTGAATAGTATTGGGGTGCTTATACACATACACAGCAGAGCCACTCGCTGTTCAAGGTGGCTCGATCAACTGCTGTTGAGAATTTAGATCTTAAGTGGATTGAAAAATTGATACAATATACATGAACCCACAGTCTCTGCCGCTATTGATGCCTGCTAATATTTTGGAGCGAGTAGGCAATCTTTGCAATTCGCTATTGTTACATACAACTAAGACCCAGTGCACATATATAATCACCATGTTTAAATTCGCACACTCGTCTGACTTATTTCAGATTTTAAATAGTGACTGTGATTAATCACATTAATCAAAATACCGGTAGTAGGAATGAAAGGGAAATAAACAAAAATCAAATATACAATTATTACTTTTAATTTTTTTTTTTTTTTAATTAAGGAATATGAGTAATTTTTTTAATACGAAACTGTTGCATCTACGCTTCATGTTCGGATTTATTTCAATAGAGAAAAGGACAAATACAGTCAACTGGGGCGCATAAAAGCTTTATTTCCAACACTTATTTCAAATATACATATATTAAATGTTACATATTTATAAAAGATAATTT